TTGAATTGAATCGCGACAAATCATCAGCGTTGGATCGTTACACCCCTAAGTAAAGTTGAAAACTCGGTGGACAGCTGCTTCATAATGAAAGGATAAACCGTTTGTTAAATATCTGATACACATTAGGGCAGACGCAAGTTAAGACGCAAGTTCTTGTTCCACTTCCAAGCCACGCTTTTCGATAGGCATTGCCCAAAAAGGTTGTCGTCTCCTGCTTTAAATTTTCAGTCCAAGCGTGCAGCAAAAGAGAAAAAAAACCCGTTTCCGTTTGATATTAAAGACCAGCGAATTTGCTTTATAGTTTTCAATCCAAACCGTGTAACATCCACATGGCACATCTGCCTTGAGTCCTTTGCAAATTCTGGGTTGATCTAGCACATGCACGGAACACCAGGCATTCCGTGGAAACAACAGTCACGTCCTGTAAGTTATTTTTTTCGATAAACAGGAACCTTCTGCAAGTAAAAAAAAAGAAAAACACAGCCGGTCCCACGTGGGATTCCGGATTTCTCGTCCGATCAAGTATTCAAACCTCACGCTGCCTTACCAACAGAAATATATACAAAATGTGGCACGTGCAGCCCTTTGTAATGCCACCGCTTGCTGAAAGGCCTTTCTCCATACCCTGTCAATCGTTGGGGTTATTTTGACCATACTTCGCCATGCTGGTCAATGGAGGCGGAGGGTTTGGGGGGGTGTCCCAGGACCAGCTCAGGTACCACTTGCCGCTGATGTTATTCGTAGGTGGGTATCAATCTCAGTTCGCTGGGTGCACAGCAAAGTGTGTCAGCCACTGCGCCACCACTCTTCCCCATATACTGTATACAATTAATCCGTTAGAAATGCTGTACAGCAAAAAGAAAAGGTTAATTTTCGTGGACAATGTTTCTTCACCAGAGTAAAAGGACAGGACACATATTTACCGATTTACTGAGTTGCCATGATGAGAAATGGTCGAACTTTTTCAAATGAACGTATAATCACACGAGTTACGTAACTAGCCATTTGGCAAAAAAATGGCATTGTCTCTTCTGCCCAGCCACTAATGTCGTTGTGTGCTTTGCTGTTTGTGTCATTGTCACAGTATGGTCCCGATTGTAAATGTGATTGGATGGACCTCATCATCGTTCGTTGCCCTGTTTTGACTTACAAATACAGAACGGCAGCCAAAGGAGGGAAACACGTCCCGGCGGACGTGACAAAGAGCTTCATAGCTCATCGGATTTCTCGAGGATAAATAACGATTCCAATTCTGGGTACGTCCACCGCAGAGATGGAGTGACGCAAACCAATGACATCGGTTCATGTCGAGCAGCGAGATGGATTGTGCCACCGCAGAACCACGAGAGACGGCGCCAGCAGAGACAGGCCTTCATCCAACAGTAGATAAATCAGGGTTGACGATAAAGACGGTAACATTTTATTCATTTGTGCATTCCAGGCGACGGTGGCAAACGCACAGCCACTCAACGCGGTTCGCGTCGCGATGCGTAGGGGGGTTCGCTCCGAACACGTAGCGTGGTCGTGCATCGGAAATTGCGACTCATCACGAAGACAATTTAATCAAAGACACTTTCCTCGGGCGTGACACGTGTGTGTGCCGGCGTAAAAAAAACTTGCTCAAGTGCAGTGAGAATGTGGCCGCAGACGGATTGATTACGAGCCACGTCCGTGTGCCGCCTACATCGTGGAGAGTTTGAAAATACAGTCATCATGAATTATACATGTCCCCTCGGGAGGAGCGGCGATGCAGTGATTAGCGCACTCCGATTTGAACCCGGCGACCTGACTTCAGCCAAGGAGAGTGATATTCGAACCGATCCTGAGCCACTACTGCTAGAACAACCCGCACTGATCAGCCTGGTGAAGTATGGCCAAACAGCTTCCATGACACGGTATGGGGAGGCCTTCATCCAGCAGTCGACTGACAAACAGCTGTCAATTACGATACTAGGCAATATATAGTATCGTAATTGTATAGTGAATATACAGCAGTGTGGTATACAGTAGGGTTGATAGAATAAGACATAGTGTAATGTTACAAGTCTAAATATTTTATAGTATAAAGTATAGGGTAGTGTATAGTAACGCATTGTATAATTCAAAGGTGGAATTTGTCTATGGATATATTATACCATGTAGTTTAGATTGGAAGGTATAATAATGTATTGTATAGTAGTCCAGCTTATAGCAGAGTTATAATGCAACACAGGACAGAGCAGCGCACCTTGGCTGTTCTGCTTTTTTTATTTTTCTGTGTGCCCAGCCGCCACCCTCATCCGCTCCGGTGGTGGTGCTGGGCAACATGCTAATTCATGTTAATTTATGTTAACTCCGCCCACACAGCTTAAAAGACGCGGTCCATGCTTGGCAGTGTTCACTCAAGCGCTGTCTTCTGGACAGTCCTGTTTCTTCACCTGAAGAAGGCTACTTGTGTTGTGGCCGAAACGTCGTGAGAATGTTATTTTATTATGTTTTATTTTTATTATTTTATTTCCATTCTACGTGACTTTACCGAAAGAACCTAAGAAGCTGTAAATGACTATGATTTGATTTCGTATTATATAGTAAATACTTGATTGCATGTGTAATTCAAATATCCAGTAGGATACTGCCTTGGCATGAAACAACTGTGTGTCTAGCGCCGATGTATTTCATTGCCAGTGCCTCTTGTGGAATGAGGGTGTGAAGAGCAACACATTGTTTTTGTATTCCCGATGTCACTCGCATCATATCGCCAACTCAGTGGGGGGCGAGCAGTGGCGAGGTGGGGAGATGTTCCTCCCCTCCACCCCCCCCCACCCCGGCATTCCTTCTGTGGTCATTCCATAGGGCATCACTTTACTTCGAACGGCCACTGTGGGACTTCTGCGAGAGCTCCCTGCGATAGATGGTGACGGATTTGGCGATAAAGGCGCAGCCCTGCAAGTGCTTTCCCATGCCACCGCTAGCGGGAGGGTCTCAACAATTCGATGGTAATATACACTGGGTATTTTGTCTACTCCTCCATCTTGATCAGACGTGTTGGAATTGGTGGAAGCACCAATACTTGAACCCCACCATATACAACCTTCCGATCGACAGATGTGTAGATGAACGGGGATTTTTTTTTTTAAAACGTGTTCCATTGTTTCAACTGACACACCGTGAGAAGGCATGTGAAGGGGCGACCTATGGATTGCAAGCCCAGTGTGCTGCCCATTACCACGCTGAAGCTCGTCTGACCGACCAGTGTGACAGTAGCTAAATAAAGTGACCGCTGTACTTTCCCCACGGACGTTGGGAAACAAAGTCTCTGACCCTATGTGCGATTTAAAAAAAAATATTTTTTTGAATCCACACGCCAGATTTCCCATCCAGCCACAGACCGTCCCTGGGCGCTCCTTTTGCTTTCACTTCATCACATGTGAAGGGATGCTCTGCACCTTGAGCTCGTGTGCAAGGTTTTATTTTAGGGTTAGGTGTTATGATTTGCGGTTGGAGTTAGGGTTTTGGGTCAGATGTTATGATTGAGGGTTAGGATTATGAACCGTACGTAGTATCCAAGACTGCTTTTGTTACCGAGCATTTGTGAGAACAGCAGTCTCTGCCTTTAAAGTATATTTCTAGTGAGGATTTGAACGAGTAATCCTCCTCTGGTGTTAAACACGGTACAGTATAACTACACACAGTGTGTATAGAAAAACATTGGCTACCTCACCCCATGGTGCAGTTATACAATCTCATTGAATTACATTTTTTTACATCAATTTGTACACATAAGGGTATAGTTTGGTAATCATAAAAAAACTTCTCATAAGCTAATTAAAAACACAACGCCTCACTTATTAAATGGCTTCAAATTCGTCAGTGTAATGTGCTACTGACAGCTGTACGTCAGACACTGCCCTCTTTTGGTCTGCTATAAATAAGGCCCGTTGCTCGAAACATCAGCCTTCCATATATTGTTCCTTCTACAAGGCAGTGTTAATGACGGGTGAGGGGTTTAGAATTAGGGGCTGGGGTAAGGGAAATTGGATCTTGGGGGTTATTGACAGTAATCCAGAAGACTGCTTTTCATGCCAGACAGCTGATGGGATGTGTTTTTTCCGAAGGCCATATTCATTGTCGCTCATTGGGGGAAGATTGTGTCGGCATCATGTACAGTACTGTATTTTGAACTTCCTTCGCACCGTACGTCGCCAACCGTACTCATCGGAGGTGCGAGTCACACGTTCACACCGTAGTCAACACACGACGCACAACTTAACATACGCCACCGCACACCGCACATGCCCGCCACTTTTGTAGCCTTCTTCAGCAGCGGGAAACCGAAGACTATTTTTTTTGTATTATACAGCTTCACTCGGCATTAACAAACGACTGCCTGCTCTGCACGTGGCAGGTCCAAGTCAACAGGGAGACACTCTCTCGTGGTTTGCCATGGGTTTCTGTGTTCGCAGCAGTGCGGTGGAGGGCTGAATGTGCCCGTCCGTCCTGCCGAACACGTGGTAACGTCTGCATTGTACAAGAGCCCAACAGATCCACACATGCGAACCACTCAGAGCGGTTGTTGTGTTCGCGTTTAAGCACGGGGGATGTTCCGTAAACAGCATGGAAATCTGACCTCAACCGAGAAGCTTTTTGGTGTTTGTGCGAGACAAAAAAAGAATAGGTTAACGCGTTTTAAACTGAAAGCAAGCCGACTTTCTCTCTGGTGCGAAGTTTAACTTCACACTTCGGGGGGAAGTTTAACTTCACACTTCGGCGAAGAGCCAAATGTTGTTGAGAGGATGCGACAGACCGCGCACATTTTTTTGTATGCCTCATCCATCACAGTCGAGTCACGTTGCCAGACGATCACTGGGCGAGCGATGAAATCTGATCACTCAACAGTCCGCACGCGGCTGGCTCTTTAAAAGGCATTTAAATGAGACAACGCAACATTCTAAAAAAAAAACACCAAGCATAACGCGGTCACGGTGTACACACACAACACAACACGCGCGCGGGCACAGTACCTGCACAAGAAGCTCCAGGTTTCGGTCATCGAGAAGATGTATCTGGCAACGACGGCCCTCCGTCATCTGAAAGAGCATAGGCCAAGACGGGACTCAGCACTTGAGCAGCAAAGAGTCCGTGTCACACAGTGAGCACGCAGCAGAAGCAGCAGAAGCAGCAGCAGCAGCCGGCGGCGGCGGCGAGCATTGGGCGGGTGTGGATGTGGCGTGTGAGTGCTACTCTTGAGAGGCGCCGTGCTGGATGGAGCAGATTTCATCCCACGCGAAAACCCGTGGCTGGGTTGGACCGAGCAGCGGGTGGGAGTGGCGACACTGCCTCCCGTATACCAACCACCCACCCCAAACAGCAGCAGCAGCCACCCAGCATCGTGACTCTCCGATTTGTTTCCAGCCGGCTCTTTCTCTCTCTCTCTCTCTGCTCGCCCGGTGAGTTTCTCGTCATGTACCAGAAAGCGGTTAGAATTGGTTGGCTGTCGCCCCGAGGCCAATGCTGCCACCACATCAGGCACGTACGTGTGTTGAACTTCTTTCGCACCGTGCGTAGCCAACCGTGCGAATCGGAGGCGCGGGGGGAGGACAACACACTGAACGCAACAAACAAAACCCCCACTTCTAATAAAGAAATGGGTTTTCACTTAATGTTGCGGAATGATGGCCACACTGTACCGATGCGTCCTAGCGAGGCATGTGACTTGAACGCAGCCGGTACACAATGACGTTGCTTGTCCTGCTGCTATCTAAGAAGATAGACACAATCTTGCTGCTTTCCCCCCCCCCCCCCCACCTTGAGCTGGTGGGTCAAGAATAAGGCAGTGTTGCATTGCGTCACAAACACGATATGTATGGTGGTGTCACGTGATATGCCGTGCAACAACGACGAGGAGGAGGAGGTCGGATCCTACGGAGACAATTGTGCCTTTGTCAAGAAGTCACCTTTTCCACGCGTCGTTAGCTCTGCCTTTGTTTTCAGGCCGCACGCCCTTTTCTGTCCGAAGAGTTAATTCGTCGATTGCCAGCGAGCGTTGGGGGGTTGATTTACCCAGCCATCCCGGCCGCACACGCATTAATTAACAGCTGTGCATCGCATTAAATCATCAACCTCCAAGTTAAAGTGTGACGTCTCCAAAACTTTGCTTTGGGGACGGAATTCCAAGTGTATACAATATTCGGTTTGTTAGTAATTTTGCCAAACAAAGCCGGTTGGTAAATTTCTTATTTCTAAACCGTATGACATCTCCATCAAGGTCACGTGTCTTTTTTCTATGCGGAGACCTCAGATAAACTGAGAAGCCAGCGCACGGGACAAGGTGAATTCAATTGGGGAAAACAATGCAGTGGTAAACATGTATAACTTACAATTCATAAACAGATCTTCGCGCATAGTACGACAGTCTCACATTTCGAGAGTGAATTAAATTCGCAATCTACCTTTTTGCTAAACCTATAATGGTCATTGAAAATGGTGGAATCATGAAGTCCTGCCGAAGGACCACGAACTCACGGAATGGTCGATCAGCGATTGTGGAATATAATCTCAGTCAACCCAGAATGTCTTGAGAGCATTTCAGGTCCCAAAAAACCGTGCAAAAAAATTATGTTCCCAACACTGGAGGAGCTTGTACTGAAGGTCAATGGACAATGATAATATTGCACAACTTTATGACGGCAAAGAGACTCTTGCCAGGTGTGCTCCAGCCCCATGGCTGGCAGCAGTTTAATAATTCTCTCACGGCAGCCATCTACACCTCTCCACATACCGGTCTCTTCCCAGGTCACATTTCTATCAAGAGGTTTCCCCAAAAAGTCAATGTTCTCCTCTTATAATAAAAAAAATCCACCCCAAACCCCCCCACCTACCAATCGTGTCCATCCCTTCTAAATACCGTATATCTCTGTTGATGAATACAATTAACATCCGGATTAAGCTCCACCTTAACCATCATCATACGCTGGATCAAATCCTCACAAGGCTGCTGCAATGTCTCACGATCTTTCGATGCGAGAATCCATTCACCACCGGGGATGATTTCAACGCTCCATCTCCTTGAAGGACATCATCCTTGAAGAGTTCATTCCTTGGTTGATGCTGTTTAAATTGCCTAATCTGTTTAAATTGTCGATTCTCTTTGCTTGATGTTTGCTGGACTGCTTAGGACGACGAAGCCAGCCTTTGTGACGCCCCTAAGATTGTAATCTTTAGTTGCAGCAGGGTGTTCGAGAATTCCCAAACTGTATACAATCTCAATTCACCACATTTACATTAATTCGTGTCTGTATAAATGTGTGCTTATAGCTCTATGTGGGGAGCGATAATGTAGTGGTTAGCGCGCTGCGCTACGAACCCGGCGGCCCGAATCTGATTCCCACTCACGGCCAATACCAGTGGCGATTTTCTGAACAGGTTCTGGGCCTCCCCTAGGTTGACTCAGCCTCAAATTAGTACCTGTGCGGTGTGTAAACATCGCCACTGGGGAGACAAAGGCGGTCGACCGTGGTGCTGGCCACCCACCCCCTGGAGTACCTTTCTGGCCTTAATAGGTGCTCGCTAACAGCATTTGCCCCTACAGTTCGTTCAGGCTATACGGGGGCCCTTTGTTGCTGTTTTATCTCTGTGTGTATGGTGGCGAAGTGTTCAGAAAACCGCTCATTTGACCCCGGCGACCTTCGATTCATGGCCACGGCTAACATAAGTGGCGGATTATATTTGGCACCCACCCCCCCCCCCCAAGTTTGGTGAAGTATGGTCAAATAACCCTCATGGCCCAACATGGTGTGAGAAATCCAGCAATGAATTCTTGACAAATGTCTGAAAATGTCTATTACGGTTTATGAATTTTTACGAATTAATGACCCCATTATGATCAGTTCGCCACGCCTCTCCTTACAGTACAGGGCAGGAAAACACCGAACGGCGCTGGTAAACAGGGAGGAGAGGGGGATAACATCTCAGACACAGCGATGGGGGGGGGGGCGGCCCCGTGACCAGCACAGCAGGGGATGTCCCTCAATGCGAACGCGCACATTAGCGATGGCAATCGGCGTGTGGGTGTGGGGGGGAAGGAAGAACGACGCGGGAGGAAGGAGGAGGTGGGGGGGGTTGTGATGTCGGCTGTTGTTTTAGCTCGCTCTATGGTTGGTTTCCTCGTGGCTGTCCGTCAGCGGTAACGGCGGAGAGGGCCCACGCGAACCACGTCAGGATGTCACGCAAAGGGGAAATCGGGAGTGAAGGAGGCTTCCTACCCCTGCTGTTGCTGCTGCTTGGAACAAACAAAAAATAGCCAAGCGCGCTATCTTCCTCCCTCCCTCTATGCCCCCCCCTTAATGCGCGCGGGTTATTGTTGTGGCCTTCGCGCACGCAAACTCATTAAGTGCGGACCGCTGCGTTTGAAAGCCGTTAATTGGGCATCTGTCACGTGCGTCGCTTTAAAAGTCCGCCCCTGTTCAAGTCGTTGCATGCATCTTGAGTAAGGGTAGGCGGGTGAACGAATCGCCTACTCTGGTGAGTCGAGGCGTTCTCGTATATTGTATGTATATTGTGTGTATATTGTTTGTATAAATGAGTCTTGTTTATTGTCGTGTTGCTGCCTTGTTGGGGTGGTCACATTATCTCGACTCTCTTGGGTGTGGTGGTCTAAATGACGAAATGGCCACACGTTCAGTTCTTTCGCGCTGCTGGTCTGGATAAGGCTGAGAGCTTGTTGTGCATGTAAACGTTGCGAAAACGACTATTTAAGTATACACAAATCACCAGCACACGCGTCGTGGTCATTATGTAGTCACCACTTTACAGTGCAGGAAATAAACATGGCACGTTCGAAAAGGAAGTTTACGGCAGACGCCGAGTGGCGAAACGTTGTGTGTCGCTGAAGTGGATGTGGCAGAATCACGGAGGGCGGTATCGTCGTGGCCGTGTCGACGTTTCCACGAGCGTCTACGCCTCTCAAAAAGCAATCAGCGCCTTGCGTGTGCAACGCTCTCTCTCGGCCTTGTCTAGACCACCAACTCCAAAGGTGATGCTGAAAGTGTGGCCGTTCCTTTCTCGGGCAGGAGTGAAACTAAGTGACATTGTACAGCGTGGCCTAGATGTCTTGTGACCCCCCCCCCCCCAAACATTTTAGTTCCTTTGCATATTCATTTCTGTGTTAAATAAAAATAAATGTGGGTGTCACAAGACATCTGGACCGCCCTGCATATCGCGCGCTTTCTCGCGGGCGGCCGTGAGTGTTGGCACAGCGAAGCACCACGGCTCAACCAACGGGTGGCCGCGGTTTGCCCAAGGGAGCCACATTGTCAAGGCTGCGATTCTTTGTGATACTCCGACTGATGCTCCTGTTGTTGTGGAGTGACTCATGCAGCTAGCTGTGGCTCTAGGGTTTGGTGTTACATGTTATGGTTACATGTTATTTATGTAGTTTATTGTTACAAAAATTCGGTCACACTCCCTATGATCACTGTTACGTTGCAATTATGGCTTTATTTTGGTGATTTCGAAAACGTTTTTTTTGGTTTGGCCATGTTTTTGTTTATTGGAGTACGGAGTTAGACTGGTGAACTTAATCTTAGTTGTCTTGTGGTTGTTGTTGTTTGACTTGCATCCCACTGGGATTTTTGCACACAGCGTTGGTGTACGGTGGAATTTCAGGAATATTTTGATATTTTTTTCCTGGATTTTCTGTTTGCACAGTCACATAGTCACTTTAAGATGCTTTCTTGTTCATGTTTTTGTTTTTTGTTTGTTGCGGTTGCACCCGATTCAAGAACCGAATGGCTCACAGGGCTATACCAAATAAATGGAACAATGAACTATTCTAAAAGGGAGTGCGTTTTGTGTATTGTGGGTGGGGCAGAGTGCATCTCACGGGGACGGGTCACAGACCATTGCATAAAGGCATCCCCTCCCTAACATGTGGGGAGTGGAGGAGGAAGAATGGGGTGGTGGTGGACCAGCGTAACTGTAGAGAACAAAAGAAAACACACACACAGGTGTCTTGTTCAACTGTTGATGTCTATATATTTTTTTCTCACGCTTTAGCCCATAAAAATCAATAATCTCAGAGAATGCAATG